CTGCGGCGTCGTCTCTCTGATGGGAATTTCCTCGCGGGGATGGGCGGGGACCCCTCCGGGGCGGGGCCGGGGGTGGGAGTGGGGGGGCCTGGGGTGGGGGGGGCGGGGAGACCCCCCCGGACCACCGCTTTGGCCCCGCTGCTGCTCGTCATCGCCCCCCCCGGCACTGACTGGTAGGTATTGGGACCCCCCTGTGGAACCCCCAACCCCCCCCTTCCCCCGGGGAATCCCCCCTGTCACCTCCGGGACCCCCAGAACCCCCTGCTACGAACCCCCAAATGCCCCCTCCCTATCCTTGGACCCCTCAACACCTCTAACCCCCCCCCAGCTCCTGGTGGGGGCAGTTTGGGGGAGGGGGGGGCATTGGGGGCCACCTATCAGGGCATTTGGAGGGGGGACGTTTAGGGGGAGCTTTGGGGGGTTGTGTTTGATGGGGGGGGTCAAGTTTGGGGGCAGATTTAGGGGCTCATTATTGGGGCTGGTATTGGGGGTCGGTTTGGGGTGGAGAGATTTGGGGGGGTCAGTCTGGGAAGGGGCACTTTGGGGTGTCATTTGATGGTGCAGATTTGGGGGAGGGTCAGATTTGTGGGGACACTTGGGGGTGTCTTTTGGGGGGGGGGAATTGGTTGGAGAGGGGACCCTGAGGGGGCATTTTGAGGACCCCAAACCCTCCAGTTTTGGGGTTTGCACCTTCTGACCCCCCCCCAGGGTGAAGCTCTTCAAGGGTAAATCTGTCCATGGGGATGTGGAGCTGCGAGTGGAGCAGGTGAGTTTTGGGGGCCCTCTCTCAGTTTTGGACAGCCCCCTAAAAATTCGGGGTCTCTCAATCCCTTGGGCTCTCCCTCAGATTCTGCTGTACCAGTTTGGGGGTTCAGGCAGGTTTGAGGGGGTACCCAAGGAGATTTTGGGGAGTCTGAGGGACTTGGCATTCCCCCTGTTGATTTTTGGGAGGCTCGAAACCCCCCATTCCTTCACTCAGCCTGGGGGGTCAAAAAGCTTCAGGGAGGGTTTAAGGGCCCTGAGAGATATTGAGAAATCCCTTGGGGGATTTTGGGGTGCCTTTAAATCTCCTTTTCTTATCTCAGTTTGAAGGTTTTGGGGGTTCTCTGGGGGTCTTGGGGTCCTGCTGGATTTTGAGGTTCCCCCCTTGAATTTCAGGGGCCCCTAAACCTCCTATTCCTCCATCCACTTTGGGGGTTCAGGACAGGTTTGGGGAGGGGGCACAGGCAGAGTTTTGGGGCTCTCCCTAGATTTTGAGATCTCCATGTGAGATTTTGGGTATCCCTTGAATTTTTCAGATGTATCTGAATCTCTTTTCTTGACCCAATTTGGGGCCAGGTTTGGGGGTGTGGGGGGGGTGTTTTGGGGTACCAGGGAGGCTTTGGGGTCCCCCCTGGATTTTGGGGTTCCCCAGGCCCAGTTCTCGGAGCTCTCCTTGGCCGCCTCCACCCACGGAGCCCTGAGTGTCACCATCGACTCCCCCCGGGGGGGCACCAGGTGGGATTTGGGGGATCCCCCCCCCCAGTCAGGGGCTGAAATTGGGGTACTGGGGCTATGGGGAGGGGGGGGAAGGCAGTTTGGGGAGATCT